TGTAGAGCTCAGGGCTTAGAGCGGTTGTGTCTTTTCTGATTTTTCCGTTGTCTGCCATTACTTTTGGCTTTCCTAAACTAATTTTAAATCTAAGAGGATCCCAATAAAAATACCAATGAGCTGCTTTTCTGGAGCTACAAAAGTCGTATGGAAAACTACACGTGGAGGAAAAGCCAAGGAGACACGGAATGAAAGCCCCGCTTGGTCTCAAGGCGCACTGTAAAGCCTCGTGTGGAAAACAGTACGCTGCTGGCACAGCAAGAGATGGGCCCATAAAACGGACCAGGAAACCCTGAAACAAACCCAAGTGCGTGTGCAAACTCGGGTGTGATAAAAGGTGTATGTCAGGTGTTAAGCGTCTGCCTTCAGCTCAGGACCCTGGGGTCCTGGGATCGAGTCCCACATCAGCCTCCCCGATCAGTGGAGAGTCTGCTTCTCCCTCTGCCTTCCCTCCCCCACTCGTGCTCTCTCTCTCTCTCTCTCTCTCTCTCTCTCGTAAAAATAAATAAATAAAATCTTATTAAAAAAATAAATAAAAGGTGTATCTCAAATCACTGGAACCAAGATGGGTTTTTTGAACAGCAGTGTTGGTTCAACCAGGTAGCCATTTAGAGAAAGGTAACATTGGGTCTATACCTTACATCACACAGACACTCCCATCAGAAATGTGAATGTAAGAAATGAAACCAAACAGGTTATGGGAAGAAAACTTGGGTGACTTTCTCCAAAACCGGGTGTGGGAAAGCCTTCCTCACAATGATGCTAAAGTCAGGCGGATGAAGGAAAGCGTTCAGAGTGGCAAAGCACGGTTGCATGGCAGAGAACAGCGTACGCGAGACCAAAGGACAGGTGACAAACAAGGACAAGGTGTTTGCCACATACGTCACAGATAAAGGTTGATATCTCTAATACATAAAGAATGTACACATTGAGGGGGAAAAAGATCAGAAACCAGATAGGAAGATGGGTGAAGAATGAAGTGACACAAGAGTGTATAAGGATGATCCTGCGATATAGAGATGACTCACTTGAGTTAGGAGGGATGCAAATTAAGACCACGCTGAGGTCCTGTTTCTCAGATTTGATGAGCAGAAATCCAAACCTGAATGGCATATTCTATTGACAAGGCTGTAAGCAAGAGATAGGTCCACACATTGCTGGTGGGGATACCAAATGTCAACCATTATGGAGGAAAATCTGGCTATAGCCAGCAAAAGTATATTTGGCAATCCCACCCTTAGGAGTCTGCCCTGAAGGTATACCAGAAACAATAGTAAAATACACATGTGCACGATTGTTCATTGCAGCACAGTTTACAGTCGCGGAGCTGGAGACTGAGTGCCCGTGTATGGATATTGATTCAATGAGCCACAGTAAGTCCACCCATGGGGCCCCGTGAAGCTGTAGGAAAGAACAAGAGGATGCCTGTAAACTGATGGAAAATTTCCAGGACGGATTGTTGGCTTGAACGAGCGCGGTGCAGAGGAATGTGTGCAATGCTGTCTTCTGTATGGGGAAGAGCAGAAAGAAATATCCACATATCTGCTTGTTTTTGCCACAAGAAGCTCAGAAAGGATAAACCAGAAACTAATGAAGTTGGCTCCTTACGTGAGTTTGGGTGGGTGGGAATGAAGTAGGAGTGTTGGGAGCGATAGAATGCTTTCTTGTGCCGTCTTAACTTTTGGAGTCCTGTTATTGTTTTACATATTCAACAAAGTTCAGCCAAGATGGCTGGGGGTGGGGAGCCCCATGACTGGAGACACACAGACACCAACAAACACAGCCATTTTTGACATGAATAACATAACCACATTTATGGAGGAACAAACACTTTTTTTTCATGATAAGAACCCCACAAAATTCACCATTTTAACCATCTTAAAGTTAATAATTCAGTACCACTCAGTACATTTGCAATGTTGTCCAATCATCACCACCATCTAGTTCCAGAACATTCTCAGTGTCCCAAAAGAAAACCTCATACCTATTAATAGTCCCCATTCTCTCCGCAACACCAGCCCCCAGCAACTACTAATCTACTTTCTGTCTCTGGATTTGCCTGTTGTGGACATTTCATGTAAACAGAGTCACACAATATGTGTGTGTTTTTTTTAAGATTTTATTTATTTATTTGAGAGAGAGAGAGCATGAGAGGGAAGAGGGTCAGAGGGAGAAGCAGACTCCCTGCCGAGCAGGGAGCCAGATGCGGGACTCGATCCCGGGACTCTGGGATCATGACCTGAGCCGAAGGCAGTCGCTTAATCAACTGAGCCACCCAGGCACCCCACAATATGTGGTTTCAAAGAGCCTGTGACTTCCCTCTTGTATGCCCTCCTGCTCACTTGCCCCAGGGAAGCGAGCCACCATGTGAGCTGCCCTTACAGGGGTCCCCATGACAGGGAACTCAGGGAGGCCTTTTGCCAATGGCCAGTGAGGACTGAGGCCCTCAGTCCAGTGACCTTCGAGGAGTGAATCCTTCCAATAGCCACATGTGAGCTTGGAAATGGACTGTCCCCCAGACAAGCCTTCTGATGAAACCACAGCCCTGGCAAACACCTTGACTTCAGCTTTGTGAGGGACCATGAGTCAGAGGCACAGAGCTAAGCCACACTGGTATTCCTGCCCCGAGACTGTGACATGAAGCTGCTAAATTTATTGTTTTATTTATTTTTTTAAACTGCTAAGTTTTGTGTTCATTTGTTATGCAGAAATAGAAAATACAATTTTCTGCCTTTTGGATCTGGGAGGCAGCATAGACCATATTTAATATGACCACTATTCATTTATTGGGAAACCTGGAAGTCCGTTGGTGTTGAGTGAGGCCCAAAGCAAAGGAAGGCTCTGCAGCAGATCCAATTTGTGGCATAAGCTGTCCTGCACTTGGGCCATATAACTTGGAAGGTCCAATAGAGCTAGAGAGGTACATACATGGTAGATGAGACTGTGTGTGGTCCCTCTCACTGTCCTCTAGAGCTTGGCACAAAGCCATGCCCTCTGCTGCAGAGAATTACATACCATGCTAAGGAGCTCTGGATGCTACCTGGCCTTAGACTGAGCACCTGGCCATGGACATCATCTTAGCATGTGACTGGAGCTGTCCATCGGGAATGGGACATTTTCAGACCCATGAAATTACAAGTTTGGGTGAGTGTGTCAGCAGTCCATTGTATGGTGAAAGTGGTATCTTTTTCTTGGTTTTCTATCACACTGTGTTGTCTCCTTGTGTACACAGCTCTTTCCTATTGAGTGCTGGACATAATATATGAGCAATTATAATTTGGGCTACACGATTAGTATCTTCTAGGAAGATTTTACCCTTTTTGCTTTGAGCAGGCTAGCAGCACCAGCAATAAACCCTGAATCACCTGAATACAGTTTCAGAAATTGAGATGAATACGGATTTTATGAAGTCCCTGCAAGGCTGGTCTACTTTGGTGGTATTCACTCTTACCATGTAGCTGTTCAGGGTCTCAGCTCAAAGATAGGACACTTACAAGAACCCTCCCCCTTAGCAGCTCTAGCCCACCAAGCTGTCAATCTCTGTTCAGGTTCTCAGCCTTCCTGCTGCCTCTGCGAGAACCGACTGACCCCTGAGTGGAAATCGTTGCTAAATGTCAGGTGTAGTACTCTGGGTTTCCTTTTATCCCGTCAGAATATTTCACTTTGATGGCATAAAACAATTATCTTTTAAAGTTTTTTATTTTTACTTTTTAAAGATTTTATTTATTTATTTGAGAGAGAGAATGAGAGATAGAGAGCACGAGAGGGAAGAGGGTCAGAGGGAGAAGCAGACTTCCTGCTCAGCAGGGAGCCCGATGCGGGACTCGATCCCGAGACTCCAGGATCATGACCTGAGCCGAAGGCAGTCGCTTAACCAACTGAGCCACTCAGGCGCCCTAAAGTTTTTTATTTTTAAGTAATCTCTACATCCAGTGTGGGGCTCAAATTCATGACCCCAAGATCAAGAGTCGCATCTTCCACAGACTGAGCCAGCCAGGTGCCCCTAAAACAGAATAATTTCTAAGCGATTATATTTTGGCCAGCTTTTTTTTGCTGTTCTCAATGGGAGGCTGACCTGAATTGCCCATTCCTACATTATCAGAGCTTTTTTCTTTTTTAAGGCAAACCTCAACAATATATTATACATTCACTTATATGTTTTTACGTTACATGATATGCTGTTTAAGTTTATGGGAGGAAAACTCTTCTCCGAGGGGCCACGAGGCCGTCGGGGCAGTTTGAAAGCAGGACAGTTTCTCCTGAAATCAGCAAGGTTGGACGTTCTCACACCTGCGCGCGCGCGGTCGGGCGGGAAGTGACCGGAGCACCCGGGGGAGAGCGGGGAGTGACCGGAGCCGCACCCGCACCGGGGGAAGGTGGCGTGTTACCCGAGCAGCACCTGCGCGCGCGGGGAGCTACCCTCGCACCTAGAAGCAGGGGAGGCGCCGCAGAACTGCACCTGCTCCCGCCGCGGCCCCGCGCTGCCCGCCCGGCGCGGCGTTCCTGTCCCTAAGACCCCCAGAGGCTCCGAGGCACCGACAGTCACCCCACTCGGGCACCTTAAAGCCACGTGGGGCCGCCCGGGCGACCCCTAAGCCCACGACCGCATTCCCGGGGCTCCACCTGTGCGGCGCTCAAACATTGTGCACAGTTCTATAGTTACAGCATCTTCAGTTCATACAATTGAGTTATGTTTAAGACGAATCTGGTGCGCCCAAACAGAAACCGAGGACGACGCCCCAGCCCCAGCAGGCGTTGCTAGGCAACCCGCGGCTCCCGGCAAACCCGCAGCGCCCAGAGATGACGCCACCAGCCCGCGTCCGCATCTGGACCTGCCGCCTCGCTGCCGCCGCATGCCATTGGGCGGCGGGCAGACGGAGGCGGGCCTCGGCCAATGGGCGACGCCGCTCCGGAGGGCGGGACCGTGTTACCAGGGCCGTGCGCCTGCCGGAAGCCCGCGTCGGAGGCCACGCGCAGGTAGGCGAGGACCGCGGGGTCGGGGGTCGCGGGGCGGCTCCCACATGGGTGCGGGACCCCAGCGGTTGGCCGGAGGGACCCGCGGAGTCCCGCGGAGGGCGCGCGGGGTCCGAGCCGCCGGCTTACCCGGGCTGTGCCCCCCGAGCCTGGCATTCCCTTCGCCACAAACCGCCCCTTGACTAAAGCGTTCGGTGGGCTCCCGCGCGTCCGCCTGCCCCGGGCCTGGGCTGGCCGCCGGACTCGCGGCGGAAACGACGCCGACCTGGGGCGCTTGCGTTCTGAGCGGACAAGAACGAATAAGTAAGGTGGTGGTGGGCGCTGGCAGGAAAATGAGGTGGAGCACGGCGCGGAGAGCGGGCCGCGTTGGTGTCAGCAGACACCCGCGGTGCAGGGACCCCGGGCCCGCTGCGGCGAGAGCACAGGCCGGAGGGCGGGGGACAGGGGCGACGTCGGGCAGCCACGCGCGCCGCAGGCCTAGATGAGGTCGCGGACTCCTCCCCGAGCGAAATGGGACGCCTCGGGCGTTCTCCGAGTCATTCTGCGTGCTGTGTTGGAAAGGGACTGGAGGGGCAGGGGGCAGGGACGGGGGCTCTTGGGAAACGCAGATGGGCGCATAGCAGTGGTACAGGGAGTGGAAAGTAGTCACTGCCCTCTGGACGTGCTTTAGAGACAAGGCCGACGGGGTTAACGGATACCGGACTTGTGGGACGCCACAGTCTTTAGCTTGAGCCAAAATTTGTATTTCACCAGGGGGCCATTCGTTAAGAGGACACATGCCCAGGAAGATGGTTTGTGGAGGACGATGAGAAGTGTCGATCCTGACGCCTTGTGTGTGAGATGATGTGTGAGGGTGTAGGTGACACAGCGCACTAGTGCGGTTCCGGGGCACGTTCCAGGTCACCAGTGGGTAGCTGGTGTTTAGAGCTGCTGCACAACGACATGCGGTCACTTAGCGAATGAATGTAGGCAGAGAGGAAACTGGGCTGGAACACTGGAGCCCTCAGCGCGGAGGGTCAGAGAGGTGAAGGGGTAGGAGGAAACCAGATGGTTGTGGGGTCTGTTTTGGAAGCTAAGAGACGAAAAGAGTGTGGAGAGAGGTGAGCATCAGCTGTCAGATGCTGCCTTTAGGTCAAATAAGGTGAGTACTGAGAATCTGCCGTGGGATTTCACGTCTGTGAGGAGCAAGCTGGACTGTAGGTAAAGAGGTAAAGTGGGATTTTCATCAGTAATAACTGTTGCAGGAGGGATAAGAGCTGTGTGAACTGAGCTGACCTTGGATTTGTCCAGAGGTGACTGAGGGACTAGGCATGGGAAGGGGGAGCGGCACTCAGTAGACTTAGGAAGTGAAAAACTACAAAAACTGGGGTGGGGGTGTCGGTCCAGGTGAAACCCATCCGGGTTTGCTAACTGGCACTTATCAAAGGTAGGCACCTACCCTTCCACAGGGCCGTCCAGTGGGGCCCCATCTTCGGGTGTTGGCTGGATTCTTTCGGCAGCCTTGACTTTCTCAGGCAGGCACTTTTTAAGGGCGCTAGGGTCATCGTAGGGATGGGGCCTTGAGCTGTTAGAAACTGTATTAGTGTTTTGTGCAAGTCTTTGTGGGCCAAGGTTGAGGACCAGTGGAGAGAGGAGCCTGGCTACAGTTTGGTCACGGAGAGAGGCTTTGTCCTTATGGTGTCCTTGGTGAGCTTGAGAACAGTTGTGGTAGAGTGGCAAAAGCCTGGTGGGAGGGCTGTGAGACGGAACAGGAGGGAAGGGCTTACAGGCAGTGCAGGTAGGTGGCTCTTGAGGGTCTTGGCAGGAGGAAGCAGAAATGGGGTAAGAGCATGTGAGATCAAGAGAGTTTTTACGATGTGGGAAATTTTAGTTGATTGAGTAGAAGGGAAGCTGGAACAGTGCAGGAGGGGAATTGCTCAGGGATGTCCCTGCATAGGGGGGGCATGGAACCCAGTGTGGGAGTAGAGGGTTTGGCCTCTGTTGGAAAATGGCAGGATTGCATCCTGACAGGAGAGAAGGGTGGGGGGTAGATGTGGGAGCTTGTAGAAGTTCCCTTCCAGTTGCTTTGATTTCCTCTGTGACCGGGAAGTAAGGTTCTGTGAGAGGAGGGAGAAGACCTTGGAGATTTGAGAGGAGAAGCTCTTCCAGGCGAGTGGCTGGGGTGGGGAAATGTGGGGCCACCAGTGGGGCTGAAGGATTGTTGGACCCCGGGGTGCTGAGCGAGGTGAGCTGCAAAGAGGGTAGGTGGGCTTGGTGAGTAAGAAATTTGGAGCTTCTGTAGTAACTGGGCTTCGAGTTTGGCATTTGGAGGAGGGGGAGGGGAGGGTAAAGTACCAGGAGAGCAAAATCTGGAGGCCATTCTAAGTGGGCAAGTCAGAACGCAGACCAGTCTGGATCAAAATGAACAGGAACAAAGTCCTGTTCCGCTCCTGGACTCCTTGGATGGATTTCGAGGGTTGTGGATTGTGAGGGCGCACACCCTCCTCCAGGGGCCCTTCCCTGCAGCCTGATGGGACACATCAGAGGGATCATGCTTGGGGTGAGAGGGGGCATTGGGGGCTATGGGTGGGAATTTCAGATTTAAGAAGACTTTTTTTCTTATAGGCTGATTTATTTTTTTAAGCTCCTGTGGGGTTTCTTTTCAGCCCTGGAGACCCGGCAGCCTCAGCCTGTTGGTGCTGACACGTCCTGACCGGTGACTCTCGCCACGCCCAGACGGTTAGCTGGTCTCTGTGTGTCTGATGTGGGTCCTCAGCTTCCTGCTGGTAGAAGTAATTATTTGCTCCACTGAACACTTTGAGCTGGTACCTTAGAATAAAGTGTTGTGTTTCTGCTTTTGTTGTAGAAATTACAGAAAAGTAGAAGGGGGGAAAAGCCATACTTGTAATTCTAACTCCCTAAAATGTTAATATTTTCATGTATTTCCTTCTAGTTTTTTGCTTCATAAATATTTGTGTATCATTTTTCTTACAAAATGAGGGTCACATTGTACATATGTAGGTTTACGCCCCATCTTTTCCCTTTACGTTGTACTCTGAGCTTTTAGTCATATGACTGAACATTCTGTGTGCTCTCGGGCAGGCGTCCTCCTGTGCGCGAACGAGTCATTCATTTTCCCAGTCAGCTATTATTGGACATTTATGGGGTTTTCAACTTTTTAGTTGAAGAGGCGTTATCATCCCTTGTACAGTGCCATTGTCATCCTTATATTTGAATCTCAGTCAATGATTATTTCATCAGGATAAGTTCTAGAAGTGGAATTACGGGCCAAAGCACTTGATAAATGTTACAAGATTACCTTTTAAAGAGACTGTGCCACTTTATTCTCCTGTCAGTAGGCATGATAACGGCCTTTTCATCATTCTCTGGCTAATCCTGAATAATAGAATTTTAAAAATCGCTTATGTAAAAAAATGGCATTTTTAACCTATCCAGTTAGCTAAGTAATACGTGCATACAGCTACAAACCTCCAGTGGTAGTGGGACATGGAAAAGAACAGCAGTGGTCAGCTGCCCCGGGGCTGCTCCTCGGAGGCAAGCCCTGTCATCTTTCAGCTTTTCAAACTGGGATCACTTCCAAACTTCAGAGGTCTGCCCCCGATAGGTGCGCCCTGGTTTCCTCACCCATGTGCCGCCCTCACTGGCCACAGGAGGAACTGAGTTCATACGCGTACAGCACTTAGAACGGGGCCTGGCACATGGTAAGCGCTGGGTAAATGTGAATTTTCACGGCCACTGTTATGATTAGCTTTCCTAACACCCCTCCACATGACCTTCCTCCCGGCCACCAAATATGGGGAAAGCTTATGCTGGTGTAGCTTTATGAGCAGCTAGATGTTTTGCAGAAAAGCCTGTGAGGAAAAGGAAACACATAAAGGACGGGTCTTGAGCCTTCTGAGGTCGTGGCGCCGGGCCACTTAACCACTGCCGACCTTCAGGGGCTCCACTGAGGCTGGTTTCTTCAGCACCCTTCTCAGCAGATGGATTCCTCCCTTCGCTTGCTTGTTTTTCAAGCAGCACCTGAGGTCACTGAGGAGCATTTGTTGGCTCTGGATGTGCCAAATGCTTAGACACACTCATGCCCCCTTCAAAGCTTCTCTGAAATAGGGTTACCGCCAAGGGCAAAAAAAGAAAGAAAGAAAACCGGTACAGGGGCATCATATTGTTAAATTTATTACAGATAATTTGAGAGAGATTAGAGGGTTTTTTTTTTTCTTTGTGTGTTTTAGTGTATTCACAGGGTTGTGTGACCATCACCGCAACCTAATTTCGGAACATTTTCCTTCTCCCAAAAGAAACCCTGCACAGTCACTCCAAGCCCCTGCCCCCCACACCAGGCCTGAGCAACCACCAGGCTACCTTCCTGTCTCTGTAATTACTCGTTCTGGAAATGTCATATAAGTGAAATTATACAATCTGTAGTATCCTGTGACTGGCCGCTGTCTCATAGCAGAATGTTTTCAAGATTTATCCAGTCAGTGCTTCATTCCTTTTCTTTTCAGCCGAATAATGTTCCCTTGCGTGGGCATACCACATTTTGTGATCTGGTTATCAGTTGGTGGACATTTAGGTTGTTTTCGCCTTTTGGATGTTATGACTGATGCTGTGAACATTAGTGTTTGAGTTTTTATGTGGATGTGTTCATTTTCTGTGGTGGAGTTGTTGGGTCATATGGTAACACGTTTAACTTGTTGAGGATCCGCCAGGCTGTTGTACAAAGTGGCTGCACCATTTTATGTCCCACCAGCAGTGAAGAAGGGTTCCAGGTTTTCCACATCATCAATATTTATGATAATCTGTCTGTTTGATTACAGCCAACCTAGTGACTATGAAGTGGTGTGTCATTTGATTTACCTTTCCCTAATGATGAATGATGTTAAGCATCTTTTCATGTTCTCATTGGCCATTTGTGTGTCATCTTTGCGGTAATCTGTATTCAAATTCTTTGTCCATTTTTAAATGGGATTTTTTGTTGTTGTTGAGTTGTAAGAATTCTTCATACATGGTGGACACAAGTTTCTTGTAAGTTATATGAGTTGCAGATATTTGTTCCGGTTCTTGACATTGTCTTTGTACTTTCTTGCTTACATCATTTGCAGCAAAAAAATGTCTAAGTTTGAGGAGTCCAAAATTTATGTTTTTTTTCTTTTGCTACTTATGTTTTTGGTGTCATCTAAGAAACTGTTGCCTAATCCAGGGTCTTGAAGACTTACTCCTATGTTTTAGCTTTTACATTTAGGTTTTTGATCCATTTTGAGTTAATTTCTGTGTTTGTTGTGAGGTAGGGCTCTCAGTTCATTCTTTTGCATGTGGAAGTCCAGGTGTCCCAGCACCTTTTGTTAAAAAGGCTGTTCTTTCCTATTAAATGGTCTTGGCGCCCTTGTTGAAAATCACTGACCATAAATATAAGGAAATGTCATTTTCTATAACAAACATTGATTGTCTCAAAGTCATGAGACACCATCTCTTAGAACTATTAAAAGAAACCTTTTTGTAATACGGAAAAGTCTTTCTCTCTTTTTAGCAAATAGACTTAGTGATTAAACTTTTTAATGATAACTTACAGCATGAATAAAGATTTAACTTAACTTTTATGGTAACTGGTGTGTAAATATTTGCTAAAGTTTCCTTATTTCTCCAGCAAGGTAATTGGCTGACAGAGTCCTTTGTCTTTTCAAAGCTCCTGTGTCAACAGTCTCTTGTTATTTTAAGATTTCTTATTACACTGCTAATTGAAATTTGTAGCCTCTGGCTTTGAATACTTTTTTTTAGATAAGGCTTAATTAAAGAATGTGGAGCTTGGAATTTTTCTGATTCTACACCAGTAATACTCTTTCATTGTGCTGTAATCAATCACAGCCCCAAATGGGGCAGGGGGAGCCCTCCATGCTGGTGCTGTGTCCTCTTGGATGTGGCCCCATGATCATTCGACTGTTTCCTGGGTGTTCAGCACAGCTTGATATCCCAGGTTCACCTTATACTTTACTTGGTCCAGACCGGGAATCTTAAGGAGCTCTGCACCCCCTCCAACCCCCCCCCTTTTTTTTATAGAGAATGGTATTTAGAACCCAAATCTGGGCTTTCCATGTCTGCATTGCTTCTTCACATTGTGATCACCCTTTATAGTTGCCCTTCCCATAATGCTCTCCCACTTCTATTTGGCTTTCGGGTAGCACTTACCATCTTCTGATGTATCCTGTATTTGTGTCCCCCCGTAAGCATGTCAGCTGTGTGTGGATAGGTCTTTTGGACGGCCTGGTCCAGCCTAGAGCAGCTCCTAGCACATGCTCGGCATTCTGCAGGTGGTGACAGAGTGACCCGCAAGTGACGATACACAGGAGTGGAGCGTGCCTGAGGTGGGATTGCTGGGTGACGCTGTGTGCGTGCTTAATTCCACCACCTGATTCCTTGATGGAATCTTCCCCTTTTGTCCCTGTGGAAACAGTTTTGCTCTGGGGGAAGTTTACATCTCGGTACATCAGGACACACCCAGCTTTTGCTTGCCTAGCTCTGCCTGTGCTGCCTGCTCTGTCCTTCACTGGCCACAGAGGCCTCCTGCCACTGTGCATGTCTCCCTGCCTGCCTGTCACCTGTGCTCACCTGCTTCTGTTGTATTTTCTTGACAGCATTTATCCCCATGTAAAAGTGTTTTCTCATTTACTTAAATAGGTCTATCTTTCCCACTAGAAGGAAAGCTTCACGAAATCAGGGCTGTTATTGCCATGCTGTTTGCCCTGTGTTCAGCATCTAGCACAGGGCCTGGCACAGAATTGGCTCTCAAAAAATATTTGCTGAATGAGTTATATTTTTATTATCTTTTGATACAGTCCAAAATGAATTCTAGTGTCAAGAGGAGAGGACATTGGGTTTCTGTCCCTTTACCTATATACACAGCCTTGAACAGCATGTCTGAAATTAAATGTAAAAAAATATGGACGGGGCGCCTGGGTGGCTCAGCCAGTTAAGTGCCTGCCTTCGGCTCAGGTCATGGTCCCGGGGTCCTGGGATCGAGTCCCACATCGGGCTCCCTACTCGACGGGAAGCCTGCTTCTCCCTCTCCCACTTCCCCTGCTTGTGTTCCCTCTCTCACTGTGTCTCTCTCTGTCAAGTAAATAAATAAAATCTTAAAAAAAAAATATGGACATAAGTATGCAATAGATACACGTATTATACATATATTTGTGTGTGTCTATATATATATATGTAAAATCTGGAATATGGAGGATGAAGCCATTGGGAGTGAGTTTAGGATAAATAAAATGAAATACATTTTTATAATTTGTTAGAATAAAAGCTGACATTAGTAGACCTTGTAAGTAGTTTTAAAGGACTGGTATTAAAAGATAATCTTCATTTTTTTTTTCCAAGTATAAAACCTTGAAAACAAAATGAAACTAGCTATAAATAAATAGAAAGTCCCTTGTAACCCCACCCCCAGATATAAATAAAGGTAAAAGTTTTATTTATATCCTTCAGACATTTTATATATATGTATACAAAAGTATGTGTATAAATGTGTTTGTGTGTTTATTTTACATATTTTCTCTATTACTGTTTTTTCAGTATTTTTAAATTTTTTTTAAAGATTTTATTTATTTGACAGAGAGAGAGAGAGCACAGGCGGAAGGAGCTGCAGGCAGAGGGAGAGGGAGAAGCAGACCCCCCGCTGAGCAGGGAGCCCGATGCGGGGCTCGATCCCAGGACCCTGGGATCATGACCTGAGCCGAAGGCAGACGCTTAACCAACTGAGCCACCCAGATGTTCCAGTATTATTTTCTTTAAAATGAAATTGTGTAATACTACACATAGAGTTCTGTATTTTCCATTCTGTATCTGTAACACTATCTCATTTATTTTAATTATTGAGTTGATTTCCATTTTGTTGGTTTTTTCCGATTTATTTAATCCTTTGTTAATGCGTGATTGGATTGTTTCTGCTAAAAAACCACATGTATGCAAGGCAGTATGTGTATGTTTGCAGGTGCTGGTTATTAAATTACCATCTCAGCTCCAAAAGCACATTTTACACTCCACATTGTGGTGCTCACATCATAGCTTGTGGGCCTCTGCAAAGTGCTTTTCTGTTTTCAGCTCCTTTTGGCCTCCACCCAAAGAGGGCAATGGGGAGACTGGAGCAGGTGGGCTGGGTGGGGGTGAGGTGGGATGGGGAGTGGGTGGTGGCGCTTCTTCTTGCTCTTGCTGTTGCGGTCAGCGCCACCCAGTAGTGGCCTTCGCTGCAGCAGCAGGAGCTGGTTCAGTTCCCATGTCTCCCTCCAAGAATCAGCCTGATTCGCCACTCGGAAGTCTCCCCTCACATATTCTCCTGCAAATGTACCCCCCCCAGACTTCCCCACCCATTAGATGTCCTCCTTCAGGTGTCCGCCCTCAGAAGTCTTCCCTTAGATGCCCTCCCCACAGATGGCTCCCTTAGGTGTCCGCCTTCAGATGTTCCCCCTCAGACATCCTCCTTCAGACCTCCCTCCCTCAGAATTCCTCCCTCAGAGGTCCCTCCTTCAGATGTCCCCCCTCAGATGTCCCTCTCTAAGAATTCCTCCCTCAGATGCCTTCCCTTGGAGGTCCTTCCTCGGAGGTCCCCCTCTTCCCTCATGTTTTTCCCACAGACAGCCTCCCAGAGATGTCCTCCCTCAGAAGT